GATGGCTGTTAAAGTTCGGAGAATATCAGTTTCGCATAGAATATATTAAAGGAAAGTAAAGCTGAGTAGCGGATTTTCTTAGTAGGATACAAAATAACGAGGACGTTATTAAAGACAAGGAGGAGGGTGAAAATACTGGCGAAAATATTGAATACGACATAAACATAATCGACGATCTAGATGATGATGCGTCAATGCGAACGATCCATTCAGCTGAAGAAAATTTGCATGATCACTTTTATATCAAAGAAGAGATAGTCAACAAATATAAAACACAAATTATTTTAACAAATAATAAGACAGAAGAGCTCAAAATAATACATGGGAAAAGAATTATTTTCGTTTCGGAATATGATTTCGGTAGACTTGGTGATATATTTAGGAAATATATAACAAAAGGAAAAGTTGGCTTTTTTTCAGAACTATATGAACGGCAATATAATGTAGTTCAGGAAAAGCTCATAGAAATGTTCGCTAATCATAAGCAATTAGAGTTTATAAAGTGCACAATGAGAGCACAGGATATCGAAACCGAAGTTGAAGCGGTTAAACAAATTTCGCTGTATCATGTCAGGGAAAGCATACATTCTGGTGTACAAGAAATAAAATTTACTATCCGAAATTACCAGAGCTAATACAAAGAGTAACCAACCAATGCGAAATATGCCAAGAGGTAAAATATGATAGGAGACCAATCAGACCAAAACTTTCGCATACGGAAACACCTACAAAAAATAATGAAATTATCCACATAGACACATATGTTATAAAAAGATTTAATTTTTTAACAATGATAGATAAATTTTCCAAGTATGGAGTAGCATATCCTTTAAATTACAGAAACCATATTACTATCATTGAACAACTGGAAGACTACTTTACCAAAATAGGAAAACCAAGTAAAATAATAGCAGATAATGAATTTAATGTGACAAGGATTAAGGAATTTCTAAGCAATGAAAATATAGAAATTCATATAACCAAACCCAACAGCCATACGGGTAACGCAGATATTGAAAGATTCCATAATACCATTTCAGAAAAGTTTAGAATGTTATATAAATTAAACAAAGGCATATCCGTTAAGCAGATAATACAAAAAGCTATTAGAAATTATCAGCCGTGCTCCCATTTTCAGAATCGCAAATATTTTGCGTTTTACTTTTCAAATCGCATAATTACGTGCTCCAATATTCGCAAATCGGAAAATTTTTGGGGTTTCAAATCGGTTGCCAATGAGACGGTGGAATGAAAAGTAAATGTTAAAATTAACATAAATAACAAACTAGCTTAGTTTAAATTTATTTTTGATTATGCCCATTATATTTTGCGATACTTTTGGCGTCCTAAAATTAACTTTTTATGTTGATTTTATATGTTTAATTCACTATTTATTATACACATCTCCGTTTTGGGCAACGACAATTTATCGAAGCAACGAAGATTTACGATTTGGTGCGGACGATACATGTGCGATGATTGTTGCATACCTTCAAGGGATGACTTTTAAGAATGCTGGAAACGATGTGGAAAATGGAACAAAAAGTTGCGAATTCAGGAGCACCCAAAAATAAAAACGTACGATTTTTACAAAAACGCAAATCGCAAAAGTACGTGGAAATGGGAGCCCGGCTGTATAATTACAGGTTTCATTCTACAGTCAAATTCACGCCGAACGAGGTACATAATAACAAAGTGGATAAAGAAATTGTAAGAAAGAGTTTGGAACAGACAAAGGAAAAGTCAATCACCAAACTGAATAGGAACAGGGAAGAATATACAGAGCAAAGAGCAGAAGGATTCATAAAAAATTACAAGGCAGTTAGACACAAGGAACAACCCAAATATAGAACCCAAATAGGAAGTAAATAGTGTACCATGGATGACGACGACAGACAAAATATACAAACACATCTTTTACGGACAAATTACACAATTAACCACCAAATCAAAATAAATGATTATTTCGCCTCAGCTATTGAACATCTCAAAGAAATTATTAAAAGAGAGAGTAAAAATAGAAAAAGAGTTTAATTCCATAAACAAATTCATGTATGACGAATATAAACAAAATTTATATTTAGATCAATATACAAAGATTCAATTATTGAAAAGTAAAATTGAACACCTTCAAGAATACATTGTATCAGCTAAATATGGGATAATACACCCAAATATATTAACAAGCGAGGAAATAGTAAAATATAATATCGATTATATAGTCCGGTCAAATTAGACCAAAAATAGGAGTGAAGTTACAAAATTACCACCCAGCTGAAAATTGGTAGGATTGTTCAAAACACCATCATAAATGAAATCAAGAAAGTCCCCATCGATCCGATACCTGGAAAAAAAGTTGTTCGGGGTCAAAGGTCACATAAACGGGTTTTTCGCGATTTTCAGCAAAACGGTAAGTTTATCATAAAATTAGTTTAGGCAAAAATAGTATATCAGATAATTATCTATAACAAATGTCTAAATACTTTTTGTCCAAAGAGCCACCGTTTCCGAGATAAAACGATTCAAAAAGTTGGAAGTTCGGGTGTACCTGGCGTATGAGTAACACGCTTTACTGCTCGTATTTCATACAAAAAATCTTTGCGCATTTTCATTTGAACACTCATATTTCGTATTTATCCATCGATTTTCTTCATCAGTAACTTGATTTTTTTTTGTATGTAAATAATTATGCAAAAACACCTGACGGTTCAACTGACAAATATGAGGAATTTTTAAAGCAAATAAACAAAGTAGTAACATAAAACCACTTCCGGCCTATTGGTAAAATTGTACACAAAAAGAGTAATTGAAAATTAAAAAGACAACAAATTTCCAGGAATTATCGAATTGAACATTAAATGATTGTTAAGCAGTTGGATTAAATACACAAGCCGAAATTGTGAATAAGCAACCACCAGATTCAGTTAAATGCTTCCTTTTTGCTGTAAAATTGAAGATGTATGAAAACTAAAATATAATTGTTATTTTTGTCAAATATTTACCAAATAATTATGAAACTTTATCCACCCATTTATTTCTGTGCGCTTTACAACTATACATGAGAAAATGAAAATCAAAATGACTTCTTCCAAATAACCAATGCCGGATCGGAGATTTAATTTATTAGGCGTCCTTTTAGTAGCTTTTTGCGAAAAGTTTCTTTGCCATACTAACTACTTAACAAGTATTTGAGCAAAATATTGCTGATCTTGGTTAAATAAGGTCCAATTTCATAATTAAACACTTGAAATTCCTTTTGTAAAAGTTACCTTTTAGTTAAAGTGCCACTTAAATGTACTTTAAGCAAAAATTGTTTTCATAATACAATGGCAATTGAATAATAATAAAAGGTTTATTTAAATGGATATAACAAAGGGAGCATTGCTGATTTCGGCAAAATTTCATCTGCTGATTGTCATAAATATGTAATTATAACTACGAAAATGACATACTTTTTTTCTTACAAAAGGGACCTTTATGTCATTTAAATTTCTCTTTTGGGTATTTAACTAATGAGCCTTTATGCGGAACTTTATCTTTAAAGTGGCTTTATGGAATCGATTAGCAAAATAAAGCATCCTTTAAATTTTGAAATATTCTTTAATTTTGTTATGAAATCGGCCCTAAATCATTTATTTCAAAGAAATATTTTATTTATTTTGGAGATAAATCTACTTTGTGGAAAGTGAAGTAAAACGAAGTAAAATGAAGTGACGAAGTGAAGGCTTCCAAAGTGAAGTGACAGCGTCAGTACTGCTCACTAGTAATGGGAAGGGAGCGCACAATGTTTGGTGTGTCATGAAGAAATCGCACGGGCGCATTTCCCCTTATTCCCAAATATTTAATTAATAAATTATTACATACATATGCACATAAATAAAAAGATGAATTTAATATAATGCTAAAATCCCTTTTCCTTTAATTCAAAATAAGAATATTAATACAAATAAATTCAACTATTGGTTATAATTTTAATTTTAATTCTAATAAAAAATCTAAGCAAGCAATGAAAGTGAATTAAACTATATTAAAAGGTTAATTCTATAATAATAAAATAAAAAATACCTTTTTCTTATAATTTGTAACTCGAAATAGTTGACAACACTGTTTGCATCAGACGCGTGAGCGACTAATTCTCTTTATTCTCTCATCGTTTAGTAAAATTGAAATATGTGTATGATTGTGTGAGTTTTGGTCATCTCTGCTTTAGACCAGCGATGGGCAGAGAGAGCTTTTATTCTGCGCGCCCCTATACAAAATAAATAGAAAGCTTAAAAGAGCTTTGCCCGAGGGCAAGGCAGTGCCCATCGCCGCTTTAGACACAACTAAACATTTAATGCTACCTTTAAATATAAAGTGAGCTTTAAAGTTAAAGGTTACTTGAGAAAACGGCCCTTTGTGTCTTTTTTATTCCAAAATAAACGTACATATCGATGGCTGAGTGGAAGATCGACCTATCACGGCAGCCAGTTCGAAAACGCTCTATCTCAAAAAACTTTTCAAGAACGCCTTATTTCAGAATTCGCTTCAAAAATGCCTTGTCTCAGCTGCCGATTCAAAAACGCCCTATATCAGCATATTTTCAATACATTTTGAAGTGAGATAGGGCGTTTTTGAACCGAGTTTTAAAATAGGGTGTTTTTCAATTAAATTCTGAAATAGGGCGTTCTTGAAAAGTTTTTTGATATAGAGCGTTTTCGAACTGGCTGCCGAGATAGGCCGATCTTCCACTCAGCCATCGATATGTACATATAAAAAAAAATCGATATATTAATTTAACATGTTCAAAAAAATAACATAATATTTGAAGGGGAAAAAAGTTAAATTTCGCAGGCCTGTGTAATTGTTGGTTTTGGAGGACATTGTTGTATCCGCCTCTCCCTATATGTATTTCATTCAGGCTACGCCCATGAATATATGTGTACAATCATACAAACATACAATTTATTTAAATATTTCAGTTATTAATGTTAAGCGAAATGAAAAAATTCAAACCTTACCTTTGGTGAAAATATGTTCAAGTAGAGACAATCTTCATCCATGTCCGTAATACCTTTGGTGACGCCTGTATATCGTACTGGTTGAGGGCACGCCGGACCATAGTCAACGGCTTGCAATAGCTGCCATCCACGGTGTAGACGTGGTGGCTTAAAGCGACCCTCGAAGGTTGGTGGTAATGCATAAGGGATGCCCAAGAAAACTGAGCATTCGCCCATCACTCGGTCAACGGTCGAATGGTAGGGTCTGTAGAAAGATTTCGGATCGGGATTGTCGTACATGTAGACTTTAAATCCTTGCACTTGTCCGTAATTGGTCGTGACGTAAACATCGCGCTCTAATGTCAGCGAGTCACGTCGCTGTTTGCCCTGCAAATCTTCGCGCCAACCTGCCAAAACGCCAGGGAAGGGAGCATGAGCAGCGTTGGGATTGTTCTGCAAAATAATATTTAAATAAATAATTAATATCGTAAGTATATGTACGTATATATATATAATGCGTAAGGACATGGGTGTGAAAAGGTACGATTAAAAATGCGATGGTATTTTACCGCGATAAATACTTATGCAAACGATCGTTAGCGAAAACATTTCGTGGGTGTTAGATTCTATGCAAAGAGTTTATGTATCCACAAAAGGGGTATTCTTGTTTTCCTATGAGACAGCTTTACAAACTGTGCAATCTGTGCACCGCGACAAAGTTTGTCGCGCGAATAGCAAACAAAAGAATTCCAGGCTATTCCTGAATGTATGGCAATTTTTTATTTTATAATTTAAAATTTTTCTGATTTTTATACCCGAGCGCCCTGCACCTACCTGCCTACGACCATGCTTACTATCACACTTAACTTTACTTACTAAGTAGTGTTTGCCACAATATGAATGGCAAAGTTCAGGGCGTAAAATATTAACTGTCGCAAAGGTTTTTCGAAAAATAAAAGAGTCCTTTAAAGATTTTGCGAAAAAAAGTATTTTTTTGCTAACTTTATAAATAGTTTACTTTAATTTTATTAATTAGTTTTGAAACTTTAATCCTTATTTCCATTTGCCAGCTTTGGGAGATAAGTACATGCTTTTATCAGGTGTATTTTTTCTTAGATTTTGTATAAAAAAAAAAGAAAACTGTATAGGTATAGGGTTGGTCGAATGAATGGCCTCCTAGTCACCAGTTCCGAGTCTTTTCGATTGCTGAGTATGAGGCCTTATGTTGGACAAAAGACGGAGTATAAAGGAGCCAAATGGAGGAAATTAGCCTATGGTTAGAGAAGATATCGTCACTACACACGAATAAAGGCGCGCTAGTGTTTTGACGGCGAAAAAAGGCGCGTAAACAAATTTGCGAAAAAAGATGCTTATGAAAAACTTCGGCGAAGTATGTTGAGTCTTTGACGCTGAAGTTTTTTTATGCGTCTTTTTTCGCCGTCATTTTTTGAGCTCGCGCCCTTAATTGTGTCTAGTGACGATATGTAATAAAGTAACCGACGAAGATTTGCGTGCCGCTTGAGCTTTTCTCTCAAAGTGTTTACCGCTGGTAAACGCAAATGAAGGTTAAAATTTAAAAACTTATTAATAAAATCTAAGTAAAATCTGTGGATGATTAACAATAAACTACTTTTTTCGCAAAATCTATAAAGTTCCCTTTTATTTTTCAATAAAACCTGTGAAACAGTTATTATTTTACGCACTATATATGACAAAATATTAATAGCTGGAAAAAGGAGTACAAAAGAAGTACAAAACTAAGAAAGGAGTACATTTCCAGATATTTTTTTTGGGAGTAGATTACAAAAAAGGAGTACGTTTACTCCCAAACGCAGTACGTCTGGCAACCCTAACTGCAGCAAAACCAAGCTGTTGGGAAAACCCTGACGAAATGCGTACAATTGAAACCATGAGTTTGAAGATTGCGGAAATTGATGTGAAAATTTCAATTTCATATTAAATATATTTATGTATGCATGTACGTACATATGTATGTAAAAATGTAGTTTCGATTTAAGAAAATCGGATAAAGTTTTACTTTGGGTTAAGCAGACAACCATAATCGTAAAATCCGATTTGTGAGTCCAGATACATATGTACATACTTAGGTATGTATGTATGTATACAACGCATCGGGACTGATTTTTTTAAATATACATACACCTCTAATTTTAGTATTTATATTAAAAAACCCAGTGAAATTAAAAAACTATCACTTGCATTTGGGTTTGCTCAATAGCGATTTGAGCTGTCGCACAGTGTTATCAAAAAAAAAGTTATCAATGAAAATTCGTTTCTCTTGAAATCAAGTTATATGGCTGCGTATGAATGTAGATATGTACATATTCCGAAATTTTTTTTATTTTTGAAGGCTCTCAAGAAAAACTAAAAATTCATATAAAATTAGGCACAACAAGTGGAAAATAAATTTGCTGCTATAAAAAATTTCTTAAATCAGTATGCAGCTCTTAAGAAAAAAATGTTCGTACATCTCGTCGCTACCTTGTCAAACTATCGAATGTGAAAATCTGAACTTTTCAGGAGAGCAAAGAAACAGTTGTATAAAATATTGTTGTCATTAGACAAAAGTGTGGGATTCGAAATTTTGTTAAAGCCAGTATCCTCTGCTTCTAAGAAGACCAGAAATTTGACGATTTGCCAACTTACGTATCATTCTAAACGCATGCGCAAGGTATCGTAAATCAAAAAGCAGTCGAATCCCACACTTTTGTCTAATGACAACAATATTTTTTACAACTGTTTCTTTGCTCTCCTGAAAAGTGCAGATTTTCACATTCGATAGTTTGACATGGTAGCGACGATATACTTATTTCTTCAAGGAAATTTACAGCAACCGCAAAGTTATTTTCTTGCATCAGAAATAATGAAAATATATATCTCGTGATATTTCTTGAGCACTACAATGATATATTTTTTTTTGTTAATCAACGAAAAGATTTTTTTTAATACTTTTGTTTTTTATAACAAACAAACGACTTTTTTCTGATATTTTTTCTTATAAATAACGATACGAGCTTTTTTATTTGCATATCTGTGCCGTTCAATTAAAGTAGCATAAGCCGGGGAAAGTTTAACTAGCCATAGATATAGTTCAAGATGCCCTTTTAATAGAAGCTTAATAAAAATATAAACATTTTCAGGAGAAACTGGTTATTTTTTAATTCAAAGTAAATAATATATGTATATAATTCAGATGAACGTAGTTTTTCGTACATAAGGGTAAGATTGCAAGCAAAAACTTTCTCTGAGCCATAATTCTTTAGTTTCTGTAATTAAATAGGCAAAACTTCTTAACTATTGTACACTAAAAAAAAAGTAACATGATTTTTTCAAACAGATCTGAGCGCACATGTGCTCATGTGTATTTAATGTGTATTTAATTCATCTAATGTCACACAAATTATTTCCATTGCAGATAAAACCTACCATGTCTCACTTTTGAGTGGCATCACTGTTTTGTTGTGTACATTTCTTTGTTTATATATTTTGTGGGCAGTTTATATCAATATCGAAAGTGATTTGTGAGCGATTTTCAATACATTTGTTATTGAAATATAATTAAATGAAGTGCGCGGTAATCGATTGAAAAATAGGTACGAAAATAAATCGGTTAGCACAAACATGCGCCCAAAAATTACTTTTTTTTCTCTTTATGCTTCATCTTGCGTGGTTGGATCATGAGCCTATAAAAAGTTTTCGACAAAAATAAAAGAACATGCTTTCATGTTAGAAAAAAAAAATTACGCGACTTGTATTTGCATGTTCAATTGTCATTTTTAACTTAGGAATATGCAAACACACCGTGCTTCTATACAATTTTTCATTCTACTACTATTTTGTCCGTACTACTTTTTATCTATGTTTTTAATACACTTTTGCTTTTGCTAAATGCCAACCCTCCCATACATACTTGCTTATGCCCTGTATGCAGCTCTCAAGAAAACGGTCAAGAAAAATTTGCCATTATTTCGTGTGTGCCCAAGGAATTTTGACATTTTTGATACTTCACAGCCTGTTGCCTCACTCTTTCCTCAGGAAATAATGGAACGGGCATATATTTCTGTTGCAAACCTGGGTTGCCTTGTGCTCTTTTTTCACAAAAAACTTTAGAAAACCGTAGTAGAAAGCGTAGTAAATTTTTTAAGAACTGCGTACTGCCTTAAGGAAATTTGACTCAAGAAAATTTCTTAGCCTTTTCTTGTACGTCATTTTATATGGAGTTTTTGCTTTTCTTGAGAGCTGCATACAGGCCTTTACAATGTATCCGCACCAGGGATGAAAAATGGAAATTTCAGATTGTACCTAATATCATAAAATAAATGTACCTAAATGAGACAGATTGTACCTAAAAAAAGTGACATCATTCATTTGTAGTTTTTTTTATACATTTTATTTAAAACGTGAATTCAAAAGATGGATGTATTTTAAACATGATTAGGTTTTTTTTAACTGAGCCTATATCTATAGACTATAAGTCTTATAGGAATCGGAGAAGCGTTGTTATACCCGAGCGCACTTGTGCACAAGGGTATATTAATTTTGTTCACATAACGGTTGTTTGTAACAGCCAAAACGAATCGAGATAGATATAGACAAATGTATACATAAATGGTCAGGATGAAAAACGAAATCGATTAAGCCTTGTCTGTCTGTCCGTCCGTCTGTCCGCTGTCCGTCTGTCCGTCTGTCCGTCCGTCCGTGTACACGATAAATCGAGCAAAAATTGAGATATCTCAACGAAATTTGGTATGTAGGTTGGTATTGGAAATGGGCGAAATCGGACTGTAACCACGCCCACTTCCCATATAACGGTAATTTAGAGAAATACAAAATCTTCGATAAATCAGTAAATATTGAAGCTAATTTATTCAAAATTGATGCTTGTAACAATCCTTTACCAAGAAATACGTTAATGGTAAAATTTTGGAAAAAGGGCGTGGCACCGCCCACTTATGATCACATATATGTATATCGGTAACTGTTCTACCAATTTGTACCAAACTCGGTGTGGTTATTGTGCTTGGCACATATAAGCAAAACGTTGAAAATTATTGAAATCGGACTAAAATTACGGCCGCTTTTCATATAACGGTAAATTTCAGAAATGCTTGAAACTTCAATATTTCGAAATTCAGGGACGCT